CGGCAGATTCTACCTCGACAGAAGACAGTCCTTTTCATAGGCCGACTGGGCACAGACCCACACCAACCTCTACTGACATTGACGACAACGACGACGCCGACGACGAATCTGAGGATTTGGATGATAATTCAACTTCTGTGTCCTCCACCGACAAGCCTTCGACTACAACCCCGACTACGACTGATTCTGACACTGAGCCAAGCGAGACTTCTAACGCTGCTACTTCTACCCCATCAACCGTGTTGCCAAGTAAGTTGTGCGTCGAGTCATATGTGGCATGCTGTCTGACATTGACTGGCCTTAGGCTCAGTTACACAAATGTCTGGCGGTCAAGATGTATTTGTTCCGTTGGCTACGGGGGCAATCCCTGCAGTTGTAACATCGAGGGGTGATCACCCCGTGCCAAAGAAAGGAATCGTAAGTCGAATGGTCGGTTCTGTTAGAGCACTCTTCTGACTCTCACAGGAAAATGTCAACACTCCAATTGAGACCAACAAGTTCTACAGTGGTATTTTCCTGGGATCGCAGACTAATGCTACTTTCACTCACCCATATGCCGTTGCCTGGGCTAAAGGCAGTGGTAGTGCACAGAGCTTCGGTATGGCAGTTTGGCACAACGAGGCCAACGTGGTCGCCAACGGGCCGACGAATTCGAAGATTCCTGGAAACCCGATTTCGTATTATGTGAACCCGATCGGCATTCAGCACTTGATCTTATCGGCAACAGAGCTGAAGGCTTCCACGGTGCTTACTGGGGAGAACCTCCTGCCGTTCTCTGCGGATGCCGTCCTGAAACCAGATAGCGGGTCTAGCCAGCGCCTCACAGTCCCCCTTGTTCAAGGCATGGGCTTTGTGACCGGCCTGTACACGAACTTGCAGCCTCTAATTCAGACTGGCGTTTTCTTCAGACAGGTCGTTACGGCCGCCTCTCCAAGAGTTGGTATCTTCAAGTATAAGGCCACCATGGAGGATGGAAGCATCTGGCTTATCTATGCCGTTCCGCAGGATGGCAAGGATCCTAATTTCCAGTTGGAGTCCAACACCAACTTCCGCGGCCCAGCTGGGTGGTCTGGGTTTGTGCAAATCACCAAGAACCCTGGTGGAGACTCTGGGGAGAAGTTGCTCGACGGCTCAGCCGGTGTTTTTGCTCTCGAAGCTGCTATCTCTGGAACGGTGAATGCGCGTACAGGCACGTATCAGCTGTCGTGGGCTAAGTCAGGGACAAAGACCCAGGATACACCCTTGATGATGTACGCTCTGCCTCATCATGTTGAGTCGTTCGATGCCACGACGAAGAGTCGGATGACGAGTATCAATCTTCGCACAACCACCAAGGGAAATGCGATTGCGGTCGTTGGAGAAACGTGGACTATGGTCGAGTCGGATCTTCCTACCGACATGGGATTTGCTCCATGGTCCGCGTCTTCGGGTAATGTGAACAGTATTTCGGCGGCAGCGCAGAAGGTTATTTTGGCTGTCGCACCGACGGAGCTCAACCAGAGCATTGACGCGCAGACCAACTTGAACAGCATGTACTACAGTGGGAAAGCTCTGAGCAAGTTCGCAACCTTGGTGTACACTGTGAACAAGCTAGGCGGGGATCCTGCTCTGGCCGCCTCGGCATTGCAGAATCTGAAAACTGCCTTTTCGCGCTTCAGCACCAATCAGCAGCAATTCCCATTGGTGTATGACACTGTCTGGAAGGGTGTGGTGTCATCGGCGAGTTACGGCGGTGATTCGGGCGCTGATTTCGGAAATACCTATTACAATGACCACCATTTTCACTATGGCTACTTCATCCATGCAGCTGCTATCATAGGCTCTCTGGATCCGACTTGGCTGTCATCCAACAAGGACTGGGTCAACATGCTTGTTCGGGATGCTGGAAACTCCGCCGCCAACGATCCCTACTTCCCATTTTCCCGCGCTTTCGATTGGTTCAATGGACATTCGTGGGCCAAAGGATTGTTTGAATCCTTCGATGGCAAGGACCAGGAGTCTACCTCCGAGGATACTATGTTTGCCTATGCGCTCAAAATGTGGGGAAAGACCATCAGCGACCCCAGTCTGGAAGCTCGAGGCAATTTGATGTTGGGAATTCTGAGGCGCAGCTTGCACAACTACTTCCTATTGGAAAGCGACAATAAGAACCAGCCTGCTAACTTCATCGCGAACAAGGTGACTGGTATTGTAAGTGACAATCCCATCGCCCCATTCATGGTTGCATGACTTACACAATATCTAGCTCTTTGAGAACAAGGTAGATCACACTACCTACTTTGGTGCCAATCTTGAATATGTCCAAGGGTATGTTGGGGCTTCCCGTTTGATTCGTCTTTCTGCCAGGATTAACGTCTAACTCATCTAGAATTCACATGTTGCCACTCATGCCATTCTCCGGATTCACTCGAAGGCAGAACTTCGTCCGCGAAGAGTGGAATGCTCTCTTTGCCAGCACTGCCAGTACCCCTGCTTCAAACGTGGTTGGGGGTTGGAAGGGTGTTTTGTATGCCAACTTGGCTCTGATCGATCCCACAACCTCGTGGGATTTCTTCGCGCAGTCCAACTTCGACTACAGCTGGATTGACGGTGGTGCCTCTCGGACATGGTATCTGGCTTATGCAGCCGGTAAGTTTCGATACTTTGGGTAGCTTGACACAGTTTAGTACTGACCACATCGATAGCTTTGGGAGGAGCCTAGATCGTGAGAGGTCGTTAGTGGAGGATGTATTTCATATATTTGCGCTATTTATGTCTTCGACTTCCGTTCTGTTCGGGCGACATGAATGAGATGTCTGTGCCTGGAAATTCTTATCTTATACAATCTATACCAGTTGTCGATATAGGCCTTTTCGTGTCAATGCAATGATGGATTACTGCAAGTGACGAGGAACTCGTGTCAGAATGGCCAATCCATACTTAGTGAGGTGTTGGTCTTTAGTTTTGTATGGTGTATTTCCAAGTGCAGCTGCAGCGTTTGTTTGCACACGGCTTGTTTGACACGGAGTTCTCAGTCATAGGAAAGCATGGGCAGGGTTATTTATTGGCTACATCAGCATGCCAAGCGAGCCCTGACCAACGCATGAGACCAGACCGTTGACATTAGTGTGGCAGTGCATCAATTTGGTGCATACTAAGGTAGATAGATCCTGGAATTTCAGCATGGGCCCGATAGGTGATACAAATGATTCTTTCGCACATTGTCATTCTAGCGTCGCTACTAGGTCGAGAGAGCGCCTAGATTGTCCATCTAGTTATACGTGATACCTAGTAGATACCTTACTCCGTACGGAGGTGGTATTGATCGAGACTTGCAGTGGGAGTTAAGCTCGGCTCTGCCCCACCTCCGACATCCCCAATCGGGTCAAGCTTGAGTGTTGAAGCTGCCGATGATGCATGCATGCAGTGATTCTTACTCAGTACTCCGTACAATGGTCTGTTCTCTCAAATGTTAAGCTTTCCAGCAAGTGTGTCTACACTGCCTGGGGTATGCATTTTCTGGACCTCTGGGCCCGGTGTATTAATTTTCGATGGTGGCACACGATTCGGGCCAGACAAACCGTTTAGGAATTCGTATCGCTGAGCGGCTAGTGTCAGTATCAGTGTCAGTGTCCCTCGTTGACTGTCGTGTCTCCTCCCCAGCCAGCCATGATTTCATCAACATCTCCATACGATGTGACCCAACGTCATCTCAACCGAGCATAACCTCAATATTAAAAGCTGTGCTGCTATCCCACCCCCTTCTACCCCACTCGTCGCTACAAGGTTTCTTCAAGTCTTCGAAATTGACAACCTGATCTTCTCTGATCTTCTCCCTCAAGGTCGTCGATCGGTACCCAAGCAGCAGGACACCACCGTGGGATACTCGAATTGGGGCTGTGCACCGCACCTGCCACCTGCTCTTGTGGTCCCAGCCATCAATCTCGATCCACCCGACCTTTCACAACCAATTGTCGTGGCTAGTGGAACTCTCGGAATCTTGTTCATTGTTTAGCGACTTATTGCGGTACGTCGACCCTCTTAAGCCCATCCTCTTGGCTTCCCTTACCCCCTGGTTCCAATCCCCTCTTTTCGATATCCTAGCTGTGTCGTTGGACTGAGAGCTTCATCACAAACCGCGCGGTCATTCACTCCCCATTATTATACTACTGAGTACAAGGTTTCCTGGCCACCGAGAATTACGTGGCTTGTGCTTTAGGCCTGCTTGGACTCGCAAAGGAACAAGAACCACCCACCGCGACAAGCCACACAACGTTCAATCCCAGCACATCCGATCACGAGCTCTGACTTTTGTCAATCGATCCTGCAGATTTGAACTAATTACCGGCTTACAGCTCCAAGGACAATCCATACTACTGTCAAATCTCCCCTTCTTATAATTCCCCGACTGTCGCAGAGTTGTGGCTTTGTTTCCTTGCCACACTACATCTTTTCCGATGTGTAAGTGTTTGAACCACAGTTCCTTGGCTCTGCCAATCCATGTTTCGACCGTTTCTGGGAAGCAGTAGTGCTACCACCTTGTCTTTCAACTCCAATTACTCCACCCCCATTTCCTCGCCCTTATCTACTTCACTGGCCCAGGTATTGGCATCTGCTCGTCCCCTTCAATCCTTTCCGCGTCTTTCCTTCTGATCGACGGCGCAAACTGGTCGTCTGTCCCTCAGCAGTTCCCACTCCGACCCCATCATTACCCCATCATTCTACAATTAGTTTCATTCTATCACCCTCCAACTATTATTCCAGTCTTTCAAACTCATCCCAGACTTGCTTGAAAGTTATAAAGCAAAAGTTGGATGATCGATTATTTTATCCACATTCTCTTGTCGCTTCTGTGAATTTTTCTCTCTTTTACATCTTCATATTCTCTAGTCCGCTTTGCGCCATCCACCATAGTTAGTCCACTCAACACTTTTCGCTAACAAGTTTCTGTCATTGGCCTCGCAGCGGCTACAAGCATTCGCTCGACAGTTCGAAGGGTCTCCTGGGGACCCAGAAGAAACATGACTGGATTCTCGTCAAGAAATGGCTCCGTCGAGCCGCCAGATGAGAGACAGGCTTTGATCAGCGATACAGCTCGCATCAACTCTGGGTTTCGCCAGCAACATCAGAAGCCTCGACACCACTGGTCTCATTGGCCTAGACGAGTTGCGCATCTAACATGGTCGACACTGGTCCGCGATTATGTCAACGTCCTTCTCGTTTTCGTGCCTCTGGGCATCATCGCAGGTGTTCTGCACTGGGATAGCACCGTCATTTTTACGCTCAATTTCTTGGCAATCATTCCTCTGGCCTCGCTCCTGAGTTTCGCAACCGAGGAGCTGGCCGCGACGATGGGTCAGGCTCTAGGTGGCTTGATGAATGCAACATTTGGGAATGCCGTTGAGCTGATTGTAAGCCCGCTCGCTAGAGCCCTCTCAAAATGGTGTTTGGTCTAACACGAATGGTCGATTCCAGGTTAGCATAATCGCTTTGAAAGACAATCAGATTCGAGTTGTCCAAGCCAGCATGCTTGGAAGCATTTTGTCCAACATTTTGCTCGTCCTTGGATGTTGCTTCTTCATTGGAGGGTTACGTTACTCCGAGCAAACCTTTAACAGTACAGTGGCATCAACCATGTCTTCGCTGATGACCGTCGCTTCCGCTTCTCTCATCATCCCTGCTACGCTTTATGCTTCTCTGAGCGGGTCTGACAAAGGGGAAAGGAGAGACAACATCCTGATTCTTTCCCACGGAACCGCCATCATCCTTTTGATACTCTATGTGATGTACCTATACTTCCAGCTCAAGTCGCACGCGGAACTTTTCGAAGAAGCCAACAACGAGATTAATGACGCCGAAAACCAAGCGGGAGACGCGGGAGCAGAGGAGGAAGAAGAAGAAGAAAGACTGCTCAACCCATGGGCTGCCACAGTTGCTTTGATTGTCGTGACGATTCTGGTGGCTATCTGCGCCGACTACCTCGTAGGTAGTATCGACAGCATTGTACAGAAGACTGGCATGAGTCGTACGTTCATTGGTCTTGTTTTGATTCCCATTGTCGGCAACGCCGCCGAACATGTCACCGCCGTGGTTGTTGCTTGGAAGGGCAAAATGGATCTGGCTATTGGAGTTGCCATCGGGAGCAGTCTCCAAATTGCGCTGTTTGTTACTCCCTTCCTCGTCATTCTTGGCTGGATCATGAATGTGGATATGACACTGCATTTCCATATCTTCGAGACTGTCGCGTTCTTCATCTCTGGTTTGGTCGTTACTTTCCTGATTCAGGATGGAAAGTCTAACTACCTTGAAGGCGGGCTATGTCTGGGAATGTAAGCATCCGAGCCCCCATCCAATGATGACTGGTCGCTCAATTTACTGACTATCATCATAGGTACATCATTCTCGCACTCGCTTTCTACGTGTATCCGGACAGTGCTAGCGACGATGCTCTGTTCAATCATTGAATGTAGCATCTCAGAGCGCTGTGAGAGCCTATTTTGTCAATGCTGTTAGCATTCTTCGGTCTCAAACTCTCGCACTCGCACAACAATCTTCCGTCCTTCTTCAATTGCTCATTTTGTGCATCTAGGTCATGCTGTATGTAATACAGCTGTGATTTCTTGCGTGCGGTAAGCGGCGGCGATTTTCACATCTCGGTGTCATTGTTGGTGGCTCTTTGTTTTTGCTCTGCTGGACGAAAAACGCTGTAGGCCAGTTAAGTAGTTATCGTACTCTGTTGCTTCTACAAGCGTGCTGTGGTGCGTACGGAATTTAAACAAGTTTGGTGAGTTCAATTGCGGCGTTAAATTGACTGTATTGAAGGTGCTGCACAATAGAGTGCAAATCCTTTGAGATTAGCAATTGTGTCCAGGATCTTCGATAACTCTAAGTCCAAGAATGATGTAGTGTACAAAAACATCGTCATAGTTGTGGCGGTTCTCGTTTCCTTCTTCACATTTGGCTGGAATCTTGGCAATCGATGACTCAGCAAATGTGGAGGAGGAAAATCGTTCGCCGGACTTCATGGCAAGGAGCCAGGACCGATTAGAGTGACTTCATCCACTTTTGTTCCCTTCCAATTGACAGATAGTCTCCGGTCACTGAAGGCCTCATATCACCATGCCGCCGCGTCTCAATCTATTCACCGCAAGAGCGGTTCCCGCTATATGCCAGCCTTCGACGGCCGCTGCCCGCCGCAGCATCGCGACTATTTGGAATGCCAGCCGGCCCTCGACCACCAATGGCGTGAAATCCGGCCTCTCAGCTTCGTCCCAGATGACGAAGCGTTGGAACTCGTCCGGTAGCGATGGAAAGGAAAAGTCAGAGGGCTTTAAGGGCCCAACCGAGGACCCATTGCCCCATGTTAGTGAAGAGGCCGCCGAGGTCAGCAAGATTATGGACAAGAGATGCGATGGCGGTGTCTCCAGCCCGGAACTGGAGCAGGGAACGCCTATCTCTGAGGTGAGTAGCTCGTCTGGATTGCTGTTGCCTCTTCAGCGCCATTTCTTCCCTCGTGCTTCTGGTAGCGTCTAAACACTAACGTTGACTACTTTTCCGCGCAGATCTTGCAGCGTGATAAGAATGCTCAAAAACATGCCCCCAAGGTCATGCAAGACCAAATGAAGAATCAGTCGGGCAAGCGCTCATTCTCAACATCTGCTCGTCGCATGCAACCAGAGTTAGAAAAGTCGGCTGATTTCGACGACGCTTCGGCTGCCCTTGTGGCGAACATGGTTTCTCAGGTTAACGCGCAAGCTGCCGAGTTGCACCCTGGACTTAAATTCGATGCGCCCAGCAAGCCTTTGGGCAAGACCGATAACTTCCGTTCCCGATACGACGGGCTACTGGAGCAGCTCACAAAGCAGCTCATGCGTGATGGAAAGTTGTCCAGGGCTTACAAGGTATGTGGCTAACTAATCGGACCTGGTCCTCTGAGCCATAGTCATGCTAATAGCGATGCTCTGGCAGGATATGTCGTTCATTCTTGACCACCTGCGGACTTCGCCTCCACCCAACAGGAACCCGAGGCGACCTTTGCTTCCCGGCCCCCCTAACGCCCAGCTTCCTCTCAACCCTCTCCTCTACCTCACTCTCATCATCGACTCCGTTGCTCCCTTGGTCAAGATCCGCCAACAGAAGGGTATTGCTGGTGGTGGTGCAGCGGTGCAGATCCCTGTGCCCCTCGCTCTCAGACAGCGTCGGCGGACGGCCATTCGGTGGATTATCGACGCTTCGGACAAGCGTCGGGACAGCAACTTCGCTATGAGAGTTGCACAGGAGCTGGTTTCCGTTGCGGAGGGCCGTAGTGGTGCGTGGGATCGCAGGGAGATGGTGCACAAGCTTGGTGTTGCAGGCCGGTCGAACCTTGGATACCTCATGAACCGGAAATAGTTGTTTTGTATCACCAGTTTGATTATGCCATGATTGCAGCGATGGGGTTCAATCTAATTGCATTCCATGGAATACGGGTTCAGGAATTGGCTAACTTGCTTTTGGGGATGTTGTATATTTTTTTCTTATGTTCTCCCAGTGTGTATTCCTTACTTTGTTCGTTTGTTTTTTCTTCAATAAGCCGAGTCACTGTTTCTAAGAGTTCTGTATATTTAATGTTCACCGATCTAAATCTTCTAGCAATCGCCGGAAAGGTGAAGCTCCCCGATAACCTCCGGATGACTAACGCCCCCTTCCCGATTGGGTTGTCTCGGCGTCAGCTGTAGCAGTTTAGCTCAGCTCTGCTCAGCTCCAACGTTTCCTACTTCAATCTGACTTTTTGTTTTCCTAGGATGAGAACTAACCCACTTCTCTCTCATTGCTTCTCACTGCTTCTCATCAGCTCTGGTTTTGACAGGTGCTCTGGCACATTGCAGTTGTAGACGTGCGTTGGCCGTTCGCCGACCGGAGTCTTGCACAGCCATCGACTAACTACCCGGGGACGATAACGATACCATTAACTAAACCACGAAACGAGAGTCGTTATCAACCAACACTAGTGCGCTAGCGTTCGAAGGTGCAACCTAAAATACACATTCAGCCAGACCGTCAAATCCACGAGTGCGAGTGCATTGAACCGATATTTAATTCATTGCCGGTCTTGCCCCGCTCCTCCCTCGCATTCTTTTTCTCGTCCGACACCGTGTCGTCGAATGCCGTTGGCCGATCTGTGGCACGCATCGCTTCTGCGAGGGGTGCCTCCACGCACTACGATAAAACCGTAACCCCTCTCGGTCATCAGGCTATCGAACTCGTCGAATTCCCCGAATCCCTTCCTGTCACGACATCGGCCAAGTCACACGATCCGCGATCTCGAGCCGTTGCGCACCACCCGGACAGTACCTTACCCAGCACCGACGACGAGAAGAGGGTCCCCTGGCGCACCCAGCACAGAAGGCCGGATAGAATCAAGTTTTGGATAGAAGCTCTCCAACGCTGCGCTTATCACCACCAGCGCACCCCTTCGCCCAAGATGAAGTTCTCACACAGCATCCAGTTCAACGCGGTGCCGGATTGGAGTGCCTATTACCTCGCTTACAGCAACCTTAAGAAATTGTACGTCGCCCGACACCCCGTCTTCCCAATTCCGCTAGCACAATGCTCGCGTTGTGCGACATTGCTTTCGTTGGGGGGGAAGGAGAATCGTTGTATCCACTGGTCTCCTTTGCGAGGCGTCAAAGTGCTGAGCTAACCTGTTGTGGTAGGATTTATTCCCTAGAACAGGAAGCGCACCGCTCGACTGGTCAGAGCCATCCCGATGTTGAGTCAGCGCCGCTGCTCGATAACACGCCGAACCCGGATGCGATCTTCCGTCGGGCTTTAGATGCGGAGCTGGAGAAAATCTGCTCTTTCTACCAAGTAAAGGAGGTGGAGGTGTTCAAGGAGGTCGAAGATGTGGCCAGACTTGCGGAGGACTATGTGTCCAGGGCCGACAGGGCAAATATCGACCCAATGAGCGAGAACATGATTAAGGCAAGAACCATGAGTTCCGGCTCGAGGAACCGACAGGAGCGGCGACGTAGCACGTTCAGCGACACGATCGGAGATGAAGACGATGACGATGATGACGATGCAGACAGTGACGATGACCGTGCCGCGCCGACGGGTCAGAACCGACCTCGATCGCATGGGGCCGAATCCAGTAATCACGACGGTAGTCGCACGGATGATATGAGGGACTCGAGCGTCTGGGCGGCAGATTCTAGGCTGCTAGGGTACCACGGCCAATCTACGAGCCGTGCAGGCGCCCACGACGAGCAAAGCGCCGATCCCACCGTGGTGGATCTCTTTAACGATGGTGTCTCGCTCAAGAAACAGGCTGTTACCGCCTACGTCTCCATCTGTGGGCTCAAGTCGTACATTCAGTTGAACAAGACGGGCTTCTCCAAGGCTCTGAAGAAGTATGACAAGATCATGGACCGTAACTTGCGCCGGGATTACATGAACGCGGTTGTGGCTCCGGCCTACCCCTTTACGGATTACACCATGGAAAGGGTAGATGATCACATCCACAAAATCGAGGCTGTTTACGCTGAGGTGATCACTACGGGCAACCTGCCTCTAGCCAAGCGTGAACTGCGACTGCATTTGAGAGAGCATGTTGTCTGGGAGAGGAACACCGTCTGGAGGGAGATGATCGGCATCGAACGGAAGGCTCAGGCTGCTAACGTTGGTATTCGTCGCACTTTACTTGGGGGAGACAACGATCCAGCAGCCGCACGCCGCCAGGGTGACGAGCAAGAAACCAAAGGTACAGTGGTGAGGACGCCGATTGGTGTCTACCACCTCCCTCAGTGGGTTTGCAGCTTGAGCTTCGGTACACTTGTCTTCATCTTGGTTGTTTTTACGACTTTGCTTTCTGTTCCTATCCTGGAAAAGCCGGAGCAACAGAATTGTCTGGCTATGCTTGTGTTTGTCAGTTTGCTATGGGCTACTGAGGTATGTTTGGCCACGTTTCGGGCTGTCAGACATAATCACGGACAGCGCTAACCGATTGCAGGTCATTCCTCTCTTCGTGACTTCGTTACTTATTCCTTTCCTTGTCGTGATGCTTCGTATCATGAAGTCCGAGGACAAGCCTCACCAGCGGCTGGGACCGAAGGAGGCCACCAGCGCCGCCTTTAGTGCCATGTGGACGCCGGTAATCATGCTCTTACTCGGCGGGTTTACCATTGCAGCAGCGTTGTCCAAGTACGATATTGCCCGTCGGATGGCTATGTTCGTGCTGAGCAAAGCGGGTTCCAATCCCCGAGTGGTCCTTCTCACCAACATGTTCGTGAGCATGTTCTTGAGTATGTGGATCAGTAACGTCGCCTCCCCAGTCTTGTGCTATTCGATCATCCAGCCGCTTTTGCGCAATCTGTCACCGGATTCGAACTTCGCCAAGGCCCTTGTCCTTGGAATCGCTCTGGCGGCCAACGTCGGGGGCGCCGCATCGCCGATCGCTTCTCCACAGAACATCATTGCACTTCAGAACATGTATCCGAGCATCAGTTGGGGTACATGGTTCTTCATCTCCTTGCCTGTGTGTATCATCTCTATCCTGCTGATTTGGGTCCTTCTGTTGGTTAGTTTCCATGTGGGTCAGGATACGACCATTGTTCCGATTCGACCACTCAAGGACAACTTCACGGGCGTGCAATGGTTCATCACCATTGTGACTCTGTCGACCATTGGCCTCTGGTGTGGCAGCCACCAACTTGAACATATCTTCGGCGACATGGGCGTGATCGCCATCATTCCCATGGTTTTGTTCTTCGGCACTGGTATCCTCAACAAGGAGGATTTTAACAACTTTCTTTGGACCATCATCATCCTTGCGGCGGGCGGACTCTGTCTTGGCAAGGCCGTCACATCGTCTGGACTTCTGCACACACTCGCCAATGCTATCCGGATGCGCGTGGAGCATCTGAGTCTTTACGGCGTGCTAATCGTCTTCTCCGCCTTGATTCTGGTCATCGCCACCTTTATCTCCCACACCGTTGCGGCGTTGATCATGCTCCCTCTGGTCCGCCAGATCGGCGTCAGCATGGCGGATCCTCACCCCAACCTGCTCGTGATGGCCAGCGCGTTGATGTGCTCTGTGGCCATGGCACTTCCCACCAGTGGCTTCCCCAATATGAGTACGTGACCCGCACTTTTCTTCCTGACTCTTACCATGCATCTAACCAACACTTGTCTCTAGCCGCCATCATGACTGAAGTCCCGCAAACCGGCCAGCGGTACCTGCAAGTCCGGCACTTCTTTACGCGCGGTATCCCGGCCAGTCTTATGGCGTTTGTCGTGGTCGTGACGGTAGGCTATGGGTTGATGTACATTGCGGGGTTGTAATCGAGGATGACATGATAGGGGATGCTTGGCTTGGGAATTGCGTGGCTGGGCTGCGGTACATGGCTGTTCTTGGTGTAATGACCTCGAATCACCATGGCTAATGTTGTCGCTACGGTGGGTGAGTTTTGAGGTCTAATACTGGACTTGGAGTGTATTGTATGCATGCCAATAGCCGCGGTGGCGGGGGGAGGAGGTAGGGGGGGAGGATCTATCGGTTCTGTTCATGTTTATTTTGTTTTACCTCCCTAAACTTTTCTTGTTTAACTGTTTCAATTAGATGGGAAATGTATAGAGTGTTGTTCATATATCTGGCTCAAGACAAGATGGCGGTTACTGTCAGACCTTCTTCTGATGTTTACAGCATACGAACGTTTGAAAACCCAGGCGCATTGATGGTTCATCCATTTAACAAACTCCTACAGTCATTGGCATGTGTCTACATTATCAGATCAATATTATAGGATAGTTGGTTCATCACATTCATTTCATCGACATAACAGGAGAATAGTAGAGTAATGAAGATAAGCGAGCTATTAGACAGGCAAGGAGGAACCACACACACACACACGCGCGCGCGCGAATATCTTCTAGGAGGATGCAGGCACGATGAAGAAACAATCAAGAAAACTAGAAGCCAAGCACAACGACGAACTAAAGTTCTCAAGGCGAAAGAAAAGTGGAGGTATCAAAACCGTCAAGGCATAAGCATGAAACACCACCCGCTAGGGTGTGGTGTGTTGTTTGGGGGAGGAACCATAGGGATAACACTTTTTCTATCGAGACCCTCGATTTTTCATTCTGCAGGAGAACGAAGAACCAGAAAAGAAATGAAAATAGAAAGTGAAGCTTCAGAGTCAGGAAAGTGTGGGAAAAACGGGAAGGGGAGGGCGGATTTCGAATCGAAAAAGGGGTGCTGTCGTGGTTTAGTTCCTACGGTGAGTTTTCGGACGTGGTTAGCTACTATTCGCACTATGAGCTGGCTTCAAATATATAATCGGAGTGGAGAGGGAGAAGAGGGAATAGGGAAGAGTGAAGGGGGGAAAACTTACAACAAGCCCAGAGTCAAATCACCGTGAATCTTGGCCTTCAATTGGACCTCGATGTCCAGGTTGAGATCCAGACGCAGTCGCAATTGTTCGTCCTTGCCATCGCCTTCCTCCTGCTTGCCGCCGCCGCCGAGGAGGCCGCCGACGGTCTTGCCCGCTCCGCCGGTGACTCCGCCCAGGGCTTGACCCGCCGTGTTCTGGACGAGATCGCCCGCCTGCCCGACCCCGGGGAGGCCGCCCAGACCGCCGTCCTGGCCGCCTTGCTGCTGCTGCTGCGTGCGCTGGCGGCGCTGGCGGCGGGGCTTCTCAACGGCTCCGTTGTCCATGTTGTTGCGGGGAATTGATTCCGTGTCGGATTCTTCTTGTTGTCTGTGAAGTTTCTGGGGAGGACGCGAACGGCGTTTGCGCTGCTGTGGGTCCTTCTTGGGTTTGCTGTCGGCTTCTTCGGATTGGGGTTCTTGCTTGGGTTGAGGAGCGTCGGATTCGGGCTCTTCTTTCTTGGGCTGGGGTTCGGCTGCTTCTCCTTCTCCTTCTTCTTCGTCTTCTTCTTGCTTTATCTCGGGTTCTTGAGACTTCTCCTCGGGTTTATCTTGGTCCTTGGATTGGTCTTGGTCTTGGGGTTGATCTTGTTCTTGGGATTGATCTTGATCCTTATCCTTATCGTCTTCCTTTTCCTCGTCGGGCTTTTGCTCCGATTCGTTGTTGTCGTTGTTGTCTTCTTCCTTGGACTGGTCAGGTTGTTGCTGCTGCTGCTGCTCGGACTGGTCTTCCTCCTGGGGCTGGGGGGAGCCTGGAGTGTTCTCTTGTTGAGGGGTGGAAGGGTTGGAGGAAGGATTGTTGGTCTGCTCGGACATGATGAAAGAAAAAAGAAAAAGAGAAGAAGAATCTCAAGGAGGATTGATGGGGGGCACAAGGACGAATATATCTGGTGATGTTACCGGTCTGGTGATACGGGGTCGCAGATCTATATAGGGCTTTTTTCTTTCCTTTGCGTTGTGCATGTTACATACAGGCTTCCACCACTCCCACCAACCCCTTTCACCACCAATCCCAGCCGGTTATTTGGGACCAGAGATCGTTTTGTTTCGGTTTACCTTGATTACTTTCGATTACCTCAATTCCTCGATTGCAAGATGGGAAAATGCCCCGCTCGGTTCAGTCATGCAAGGATCTGGGCATATTGTGGGTTGGGGGGAAGTTTGGGGGGGACTGCCATCGACGTCAGCTTGCGCCGCCGACGAGGGAGGCGATCGTCGTTGGTAGGTGGTCTTTTTTCTTTTTTTTGCTTTTGCTGCCAGGGCTGGGGATGATGACGTCGATTGCTGAGGAGGGAGGGGAGTTAGTGTTTTTTTGACAGTGACAGGGGCCTTTTGTTCTTCTTGTTCATTGCCAATGGCATACCAAATCATCCAATGAGAAGAAGGTATCGGACAATATGCTATTTATTGTTTGATTGACTGTGCCGTGTGTCTCCACCAACTTATGCCCTTTCCAGTCACTGTGGATGACGCCCGCGGCCAACAGACGTCACTCTCCAACGGCTTGAGAAGTCATGGATTACATGGACAATACCCTCATTGTTACCACGAGTACAATCAGTATACCTCTGGAGCTCAGTACGTGGGATTCACCTCATGAATTGCTGCTCTTCACAGCACATAAGGGTTGATAGAAGTCAAAATAAAAAGTATAGGAATGTGTCAAGATCGGATACGCAGTGCCGATTTGCCTCCTTTTTTTCTGACCTCTTGGAATGACCCGCAGTGCACTTTCCATGGCTCTTCTCTCGGCCGTACCTCTGCCATTTCCAGGTACCGAGTACACCTGGCTTGCTATTCTGGTTACCCGATGGTCACACCGTGGACTATGCTCCGGTACGTAACTTGACTACTGTACTCTATGAAAATGTAACTTGCTACTCAGTATGCCCGAACAGTGCAGTCTACGTACTCCTCACTCCAAATTCCCCCCATCCCCCCATGATGACGATGAATTCATTCGGTGGTCATTGTAACCCCACCACCACAACTACCACCACCACCCCTTGCGTCCTCAAACGAGGGTCCAGACAACGTGGCCCGGCCGATCAGGAATCGCCTGACCTGAGCGCTGGAGCGATGCTGCAACGACGATGATGTCGTTGATGTCCGTGGTGCGGAGGCGCTTCTTTGGCTCTCCTTCCCTGTCCCTCCGACGTCATATCGCTTGACTTCTCCAGTCGCTCATGCGAAGTCATCGCAGTCTTTCCCTGCCCATTACGCCTGCTTTTCCATACCTGTCCTTCCTCACAGACCATTTGCTCGTACCACTCACCCTATTCGTCTCTGTCGTTCTTCGACCCTCTGCCCTCTGACGATTCGCCTTCTACTTGTCAGTCCCGTCCCATCGGTGTTGAGCCATCTCGTATGTAAACCCACCATTGTCGCTTCGGCTCGCTCTATTCCTCTTCTTTCCCTTCCTCTCGTTTTGCTTGATTACATACTCATACTCGTCGTTAACCTGACGCGCCTAGGCACTAGCCACGATTGATCCCTCGGAAGATACACAGATATACAAGTAGTATAAACCGCAATCTGATTACGTTTTAATTGCCTCTTCCCTGCACCAACAAGCAACAACGAACATACACCATGGCCACCGCACAAGCCGAGAAACCCAAGACTCAACAGCCTCCCACTTACACTAACGACCCTGACGACTCGGAGACTGATTACGATTCGGATGACTACATCTCTGAGGAAGAGGAAGATCAAGCACCGCAACAACAGAAGCAGACGGCCCAGCGTCGCCGGCGACCTCAAGCCCAGGGTCAGACTTACGACGATGACGATGACAATGCAGAGTACTCTGATGACTATGCCTCGGACGAGTACGACGATGACGACGATTACGACGATGAATATGACGATGACGAGCAAGAAGCTGTGCAAGCGATGGAGCGCTGGCAGCCTACTACGATAAGCAGCAGAGACAACAAGAACCTCTCCAACGGCGCAATGGATCCGGCACCCTCGAACGACCAGAAGGGCGCAGATGAGGAGGGTATGCGCCTGAAGTTGGAACTGAACTTGGAGATCGAGGTTGAGCTGAAGGCTCGCATCCACGGTGATTTGACATTGGCTCTGCTGTAAGTGACCCCCACTCCTGCACTATACCCCCATACTCCCTCCTTTCTCTCGTGCTTGTCTGCTTTTCTTGTGGTTCGCCTCGAAGAGAACCTTCGAGGTATCTTTCCTATATGAGAGAGTCTTCGGGGGTTTTCCGACCCGGCAACACTGAAAAACAACAACCACCCCACAAAAACTCCCGTTGGACTCCGCTTAAGCAACTGAAATAGAACCTGACGGATTGACGATTTTTCTTTGATGAACGCAGCGCATGATCCGACATGCTCTCCACCGATTCGATTCTGTTGTGCTTCGAGAGCGACCGTGCCATCCGAATTTCTTCTCGAGAGTTTCCTCGCCATCGCAAAACATCCCGTTTCCGCCGCCTGTGCTTGTCGCGTTACGACGATTATGAAAGGATTTTTACCTGACCGGTTGATTACTGTCGCTTTATTCTTTGTGTTGTCAGCTGTTCTCATAGAGCTTTGGCTAGTGTTTATTGTGCATAATTATACTCCCATCGTTGGTCATTTCGCCTTATAGCGGTAAATGTGATAATCTATTTCAAGTCAATGCATCCGGTCCTTGGCACGGTGTACTATCGTTCCTCCTTCGTGATTCATGCATAGGGGGGCCGCTGCTTATGTCTATCTATTATGACAAGGATGCGTGCGTGAACTATGCTGACATCAAGTCGGATAGATTTAGCGGGCTTGCCGTTGGCTGACCAATGGTCTGTGACCCTGTCACATAGTATCCCAGGGTTGTCTTCAAGACCAAGTTGTACTGCTAGAGGGAGTTCCCAGGTGGTGCGGGCTTCTCCGACTATACGACGGCTTGGCGTATTTCGAGCCAACAACACTGGCGACCATCCAAGACTGATAAGAAGACAGATCTGCCGTCCAACTGTTGTGAGCCAAAAAGCACCAAGAAGATAGCATGATCCATGGTCGAATGCAAGAACCCATGAATGGGGTTGCACGGGGGAAAACACATGCGAAGCATGGGGTGACTTTTAGCCCGAGGTCTCCGGCGGCCCCTGTGGATTCTTGACATCGCAAAAGGGAGTCCGTCTCATCCATCACTCCGGTTATGTCCAACAGTGTCCTACCACATCCACCACCACTACATTATAATATTCGCCTGACTCGCCGGTCCTTGAGTAGTATATAGCCACAACTCACAGACCGCTACTTGTGACATCTCCCATCGAGTGACTCAACCTATAATTCGAATCGAAACCAGAGGAGCGAGGCAGAAACGACGGGCAAAACAGAAAATGTCTCCTCCACCACCCCAATCATCAAACCCCTCCTCGTCTGCCTCATCCTCTTCTTCCGCTAGTAAAACCAACAACAACAACAACAACAACAACAACAACGGAATCTCCTTCACCATCACCCACATGAACGCCAACCACCAAGACTCCCTCGCCTACTACCTCCGCGTGTACAACGGCGTCTCCGCCGCCGAGGCCTCGACCGCGACCCTCGAAACCATCACGCTCTCCGATCTCGTCCTCCGCACCAACCACCACCACAACCACAACACCGGCACCCGCTACACCGTGGCGCTGGACCCGCCGCTGCAGTCCTTCAGCAAGACCCGCGCCCGCCTCGTCGCCATGCACAAGCAATGTCTGGAGCGGCTCGACCTCTCCGACATCAAGATCACCGCCTACCGTGTGCCGTCCCGGCCCGGCGACATCCTTGCCTTCCTGATCTGTCTCTCGGGCATCCTGGCGTTCAGCCGGCGGGAGAACCTGCTGCCGGGCGGGTGGGTGTACGAGGGCTTGCGGCTGGAGACCGGGTGGTGGTGGCCCCAGGGGTTCGCGGGGTTCTGCGCCAGGATGCAGCCGGCGGTGTTGGCGTTCACGCTGGTCGTGCATGCGTTCGAGGCATCCGTGCTGGCGTACACGCGGCTACGGAGGCATGGGGTCGCGCTGGGGTCCCGCGTGTGGTGGGCGTGGGTGCTGTCGACGCTGATCGAGGGGTTTCAGGGGTTCAAGCGGTTTGATCGGTTGGTGCGCGAGGAGGAGGCGAAGAAGAAGTAACGTTAGTAGTGGTGGTAGGACTTTTTTACGGATATTGTAGTGGTGGATGTGGAGAATATTGAGCGCGGTGGTTGAAAGATTCATTTGATGAGGTCTAGGGTAGATAGGCTATGCTATGCATTGAGGTACTGAAGTGCTCTAGTAGTAGTAGTCCACACTATGGTGCTTTGTCCGGCTGTGCTCCTTAACCTCCAGGCTCTTTAATGCTCGGTCCAGTCTTCTAGTGGTGCAGTGCCAGCTCTACTGGGAAGCCCGTTTCAGGCTTAGCGCCAAACTACCGAGATAGGGCTAGTGGCTACCTAGTACTATCCTTGGCGGCCGATTAGATAAGAGGGGTGGACAGACAGTGCGTCCGAAAACCGCCTGGCGAGAGGCGGGATGACTCAGCACATCACCTGACAGAACTAGCCCCCATGCAGACTAGCCCGGGGTAGGGCAAGTGTCCCCCCCCAACAAGCGAGCCACAGTGCGAAATTCACGAGACAGTCGACGACCAGCATCAACAACTCCTACGACCAACCCCATCGACCCTTGCCCGCTGCGTTCCTGGTGAAGGGCTGCAGGATTAGAGGTGAGTTTATTGCAACAGTCTCCGTGATCATTTGCGATCCCTTTCGTCAAGCTCTGGATTTTTTTTTCTGTCTCTCCGGTCTCGTTCGACAAGTCGGTTGGTGCGCGTGCAAGTCTCGGTCTCGAATCTCGAATTGAAGCCGTCATAAGAAGAACGGGGCGCAAGAATACGACGACAGGATAATCGGGGTGAAATATCGACACGATTTGCAAGGAAGCCGGTACAAGAAGAGATTTTTATCATATCGATAAGTCTCCTTGTGATCGGTTGCTCCGTCTATCTACGTTCGGTTGGATCGCACAATTGCAACTCAGTCTTTTTTTTTATCTTCTTTCCTGCTTTCGACTCAACCACTCTGTGACGACACACTCGACGATCAGTTAATTACTTGCTTGCTCGCTCTAATCCACCCAACCGACGGCATCAAATACGAGACTTACGAGGAAAGAAGGAAGAATCTCTTGTGGCCCATACAGAAGGGGATCGCATCAGGCTCTGTACGAAACAAGGTCACTAATTCTCTCTCTTGGTTCAGTCCCCACGAACAGCAAATATGGGTATCTCTCGTGATTCGCGCCACAAGCGCTCGGCCACCGGTGCCAAGCGGGCCACTTACCGCAAGAAGAGGTATGCAACACCTGTCGCCTGTACACACACTGCTCCCAGTTGCGAAGCAATCGAACGTGTACTGACATTGGTCGAATTCAAGAGCCTTCGAGAAGGGTCGCCAGGCCGCCAACACCCGTATCGGTGCTAAGAGAATCCACCTGGTCCGCACCCGTGGTGGTAACCAGAAGTTCCGTGCCCTCCGTCTCGACTCCGGCAACTTCTCCTGGGGTTCCGAGGGTGTCTCCCGCAAGACCCGTGTCATCGTCGTGGCCTACCACCCCTCCAACAACGAGCTGGTCCGCACCAACACCCTGACCAAGTCCGCCGTTGTCCAGATCGATGCCGCCCCCTTCCGTCAATGGTACGAGGCCCACTACGGCCAGCCCCTTGGCCGCAGACGCCAGCAGAAGACCGAGGTCACCGAGGAGAAGAAGAGCAACAGCGTCCAGAAGAAGCAGGCTGCTCGCTTCGCTGACCACGGCAAGGTCGAGGGCGCCGTTGAGAAGCAGTTCGAGTCCGGTCGCCTCTACGCCGTTGTCTCCTCCCGCCCCGGCCAGAGCGGCCGTGTGGACGGCTACATCCTGGAGGGTGAGGAGTTGGCTTTCTACCAGCGTGCTATCCGCAAGTAAGCGTCGTGTTTACTTCATATAAAATTTTTCCAATTTCATAAAATTTTACAAAAAATGGATATCTCGCGCGCTGTGCTGGTGTGGTTGTGGTCTCTGGGAGGGAATGAATTATTATTCTTCGGAGTTAGCAAAGTAATGAACTGGTAGCTCTGAGCAATGGATGAATTATGCAAAGTTCAGATTTGATGATACTGGGTTTTTTTCAGTAGGAGTAGGTAGTAGACAGACAGACAGACAGTACTGTTATGACTAGAGTGAATGTATGAGTAGTGAATCTGTATGTTACCTTGTTGGACTTGGCCTTGGTGGTAGTGAATGAATGCCTGTGGGTTGATCGTCTGATGACGAAAGAGAGACTTCACCCGCGCGGACCTTCCTTTCTCTCCCCTCATCTTATGCTCCGTTCGTCGCTGTTATACCCCATTGACCACCCCATCGATGATATAATTTCTCTCTCCCCTCTGTTCCCGGTGTTTTATTCCGCTCTCTTCCCCAGCCAGTCCCCAGAACAACAATCTTGGTTCAACCAACCCACTTTCCTTCCACCAGTCACCTAATTAATTACACCATCTCTCCAACATCCCACTACATCCTCCTACATACAGCCCAAATCCCACCACCAAACACCAACCTCTAATCAACTTACCTGTTACCTCCCACCGACACCACCCATAAGACACCCCAAGCGAAACCCCATCCCAAAGCACCGGACAAACACACCCCAAAATGAACCGCAAACAACCCACCCAAAAGACCACCCTCCTCCTCTTAAGCGACACCCACACCCTCACCCCGCAACCGCCAACATCCTCACCAGCCTCCTCCCCCTCCTCCCGAGACCAAGACTCCTCCCCGCCACCCCCGGCCTTCCTCGACCCCTTACCGGCCGCCGACATCCTCATCCACGCCGGCGACCTGACCAAAGTCTCGCGGCGCCACGAACACCTCACCACTCTGTCGTACCTGAAATCCCACCCGGCGCGCCTGAAGCTCATCATCCCGGGCAACCACGACATCACCTTCGACGCGCCCTACTACGAAACGCTGGGCCACCACCGCCACCGCAACCGGACAGACCACACGGCGCCGTCGGCGACGGCGTCCGCGGCGAACATCAGCTCGGGGAAGGCGGAGCCGGGCCAGCTGGAGGATCCCGAGGAGATTCGCCGGCTGTACACCGGTCCGGAGGCGTGGGATGCGGGGATCCGGTTGTTGGGGGAGGGGGTGCATGAGTTCGAGTTACCAGGACCACAAAAGAGACGGCTGAGGGTGTATGCGTCGAGTTGGACGCCGGAGTTCTGTCAGTGGGCGTTTGGGTATGAGCGCGGCGTGGATCGGTTCAATCCGCCTGCTGCTGCTGCTACTGCTGCTTCTTCTTCTTCTTCGTCGTCTGGAACTGTCGAGGGGAAAGAGGGGAAGATGAAGGAGGAGGAGGATGGTCAGGGGAATGATAGGGTGAAAGAAGAGAACCCGGCCATTGGAACGCGGACGGAGGAGCACCACCACCACCACCACCACCATACAAACGGCCATGCTCACCACCACAACCACAACCACCACCAAGACCCCCAACCCAACGAAACCACCGGCGAAATGCGCGAACGCACCCGCACGCACGGCAGCACCGGCTCGCGCGGCGAGGGCGCGCGCGGCGCCATTGCCGCCAACTCCGGCCGCGGCGGGTTCGTCGCCCCCGCGCCGATCCCCGATTCTCCCGAGGGCATCGACATCGTGATCACCCACGGCCCGCCCTACGGGATCCTGGACCAGGTCGTGCCCAACCATGTCAGCGTCGGGTGCGAGCACCTGTACCGCGCGGTGAAGCGGGCCCGCCCCCGGCTGCACGTCTTCGGCCACATCCACGAGGGGTACGGGGCCATGCGCCGCGAGTGGAGCACGGGCAACGACTCGATCATCCAGTGCGACCAGCCGCGCACGCGCGAGGAGCACTGCGCCCGCGTCGACGTCAGCAAGACCAGCATGATGCCCTTGAACCCGGGCCAGGAGACCCTGTTCGTCAACGCCAGTGTCGTCAACGTGCAGTATCATCCCATCAATGCGCCGTGGTTGGTGGAGATGGAGCTGCCGGTTGTCGAGGGGGAATGAGGGTAATCCAACCCCAAGCTCAAGATGACAGGAGTGGAGATTACTTCAATTGGAGAATTGGAGGGGAGAGACAGAAAGAGAGAGGGAGAGAAATGACCTTAATGTCTGTTGGCTGTCTTTGCTAGTTGCTTTGCTGTTTGTTTGTGGCCTGCTTCTGTTTCTATTGTTATATATCCACCTTGCTTCCCTATTCGATATCATCAAGAGAATGTACAACTGTGTACTGGTAATGGACTTCGGCAACAATCTTGTATACAACACCGAAATACCTAATAATACACCTATCGGGGCTCACTCCGTTTCACCTTCTCCAGGGTATAGTTTTGAATGCAAGGTCCGGACAGATAGTCGAAATATCTTACAAAAGAAGATTCTAACCACAAATGAAATCCAATAGAAGGGAAGGAAGAAGGAGGGAAAGAGAAATAAGGTATCTCGGTAATAAAAAGATGTATCGTGCCTGGATCGGTGGACGAAAGGGTTGAGAATGAGAAGTGAAGTGAGGTCAAGTAAGATCAAAGCATCGCTGCAATGCAAGACAAGGTCGAATCCAACGCTGGTCGAATCGGTCAAAAAAATGCACAGTTAAAAATTTTAATGTCCAGACATTAAGAAGAAAAGAAGGTCAGGGAGAGAATTCGGAAAAAAAAAATAAAGTCACTCCTCCCGCAGAGGAGTTTCCGTTTTGAAGTCATGACGGCTGCTCTTTCGAGTGACGCCCTTGAGCAGACTGAATCGCTTCATCATCGAATCGCGCTTTCCATGGCCATGACCATGGCCATTACTGTGCCCGTTGCTATGTCCTGTCGGGCTAGTGATCTCCGGGCTGCGCACAGACGCCATGCTGCTCCGCGTTACAGGCCGTGGGTAGTCACTGATTGAAGGAATAGTCGACCATCCCCCAGTCTTCGGACCGCTCACCGAGGGACGCCCTTCAACAGTTCCGTTGGTACGAGAAGTTGTGCGGCTGACAGAGTCTTGTGAGATGGCAACAGTGTCCCGAGAAGCACTTCTTGACCGTTGTTCCTTCCGGCTCTGGGTCTCTTCAGGAGCAGTGCTGCTGATGGACAAGGATGAGCCGTGCTTGTGCAGTACTTCGCCAAAGAGGCTCCGTCGCTTGGTCTGAGTATCGCGCGATTGGGTCGTAGTGCGACTGTGAATCGTGGCCGCATCATCATGCTCTGCGGATTCTCCCTGACCTTGCTCCGCTGCCTGGGTTCCGTTGACGCCTGGCTGCTTCTTCGGCTCCTCCTGCACGGTAGTCACCGAATTGCTTGCCGCATGGTTGGACCGCTTGAAAGGGTTCATGACACTAATCCGATGGCTAACTGATTGCTTCGCTGAGTGCTTACGACCATGCGTTTTGCGCGAGGTGCGAATCAACTCCTGCTCCGGACTCAAGGCTCGCGAGCTAGACGCCTTCTGACGCCCTTCCACCGATTTGGGAGACTTGCGTGGGGACCTTGGAGGAGTTTCGGGCTCGACTGGACGGAGTGAGGCAATTTCCGGCGCAAATGCCTCCTCGAACCGACGCATCAATTCCGCTTGCGTGGCTTGGTGGGCCGGGCGGTGATAAAGCGCCAGAGCATGCTTGATCGCCAACGCATGGTCGATGAGAGCTACTGCCAGTGCGTTCTTCATCGGATCCGCGGGCTTGGGCGTCACTAGTCCACCCTCGTCCTCGTCTGGCACATCCGACAAGAATTGCCGGTAAGACGCAACGCAGTTTGGAGTGGATGCATTGAGATCTAGTAATTGCTGCACTGCCTCCGTAAGATTATTCAGGCTAGTGTCCTCACCAGATGCAGCCCGCCGCTGTAGCAACGTCAGCTCCTGAGTCTTACGCCAAGTCCGTTCCAGGGCGCTCTGCAGCGGCGACAGCGAGACTTCCTTCACCTCCACCACTTCGCTGCGACGCAAAATGTTGGGGAAGGGTTCTGCGGTGGTGTAAATGATCTTCTCCACCCACTGTTGCGTGACATCCGTGTCGCGCACATGTCTCCTGAGCGTTGTTGTGAACTGGGAAGGCTCAGAAACCAGCAAATGATCTCTGACTGACTGCGGAACCTTGGACCGCTGGTAGACTGGGTGATCCACATCCCGGTAGATGCTGACAGAGCTGATTTGCAGGAATTGACCCTCGTAGTCTTGAATCTCACCCGACGACATAATCTGCGCTGCCGGATGCTCCTTCTGCATACGGTCCACAAAGGAAGCCATTCGTTCGTTCGGAGCACCTTCAATGATGAATTCCTTGTCACGCAGAGTAGGTGGGAAGCCAAGTCCTTTGTACAACACACGGAAATATCGCGGGATCTGCTTGTCTTGCTTCGCGATGTGGTCGTATATTTTGGCCATGGAACTCTGGGCCCTCGAAAGCTTGGCAAAATCCATAGTCGTGTCTTCGTACTGCTGCGTGAGCTCCTTATAACACACCAGCGCGTGCGACCAAGCTTTGGCGTCCTCGAAGTACTGAATAATCGAGAAATACAGCGACTCCTTTCTTTCGAATGACGTTTGCTCAGGGAAAGCAGGATTGAGCAGCTCCGGCAGTGTCCGTCTCGGATCCCAGTCATATAAGTCAGCATGGAATTGAAGCGCCAGGCCAGCTTCAGTGAGGTTGCCTGCGGCAGCTTGAACTTGAGCCAGTTCGTGCACGTAACGTATGAAGATATCCTCTCGGCCCATGTCTTTCATATACTTCATTAATCGAAGAGTATGCAGACTCTCAGCCATAGATCCACCTTGTGACGCCACAAAGAGATCCAGAAGCTCATCCACCGTAGCGATCAAAGCCCCGACTGCTTCGGAGAGATCCTCATCGAACACAGAGTAGCCCTCAAAATGATCCATCAATTCTTGGATGAATAACTTTTGCACCACGCTTCCGCTCATATTCTTCCGCTTGAATAGGTTATCGAGGCTGGAAATAATTTCCGTCTCGATGATAGACAAATCCTGGTTAAGTCCCCACTCGCTCAG